TCTAGTAATAATGCTGAAAAAGGACTATTAAACCAATTAAAACAAAGTCGACAACAATTCTCTGATGATACTGAATTTTCTAGTAATGATCCCGAACAGGTGAAAGTTATTGTTCAATAAATGTTTAACTTGTATTTTTTTTTTTTTTTTTACAATTTATGTATTCTTGTAGCCAGTATTCAAGAAGAAAAATATAAATTACCAAAAAAATCTTTCTTTTCTTCATATTCCAAAAAAAATCTGCATAGTTATGTGGTATGTCGTTTATAACTTATCAGAATTTGATAAATTATTTAATTTTATAAAATTGCAGAAATCTATGAGACTCATAGTGGCTGAAGGACTTTATTACTTGTGTTCTACTACTGAATATCACGATATGCCTCTTATCGAGATTAACAAGTGCATTGATAAGGTAAATCAACAAATTGAAATCCTTAAATAAGATCTTATAATCTGATTTGGGTTAACTTTCTTTTTTAATTTGGCAGTCCTGTCTATTACTCTTTATTGGGAAGTACCAGAACTTATATCAACAGAGAAATACAATTTTCTATACTATATTCCATGTGAGTAAAGATCAACTCGAGTTAAACTCAAAGAATGACCCACCTAGCAGCAATTAGCTTCAAGTTGGATCCTCAACTTACTGAGGATATGAACCTTTTGATCCTTAGCCCTAGCAGCTGCACACTTCATCAAAAGAGCCAAATTAACGAAAGCACAAACACAAAAGAAAAAACAAAACAGAGGTAAAAGGGAAATATGATAAAGAATACAAACAAGAAAGAAAACAGGGTAAGGGGATGTCAAAAAAAGAAAAAAAGAAATTTGCCTATTCTAATGTTCACTATTATAAGCCCGTGAAAGGCTTATAAAAATTACATACTACTAAATAAAATAGATCCTACTCTAACTTTATCTATATAGTATATAAAAGCTCAAAAACTAGTAGAAAAATACTTCTTCGATCATAGAACGTAGGGTTGGTACTCGATCCAAGTCATAGAATATTGCTTGATCAGATTGTTGCATTCGAGGCATGTGTCTTGACATGTTTGTTGACCTGTTGTACCAATTTGAAAAGTAAACAATGTTGACTGTTTTGGTGCACATGATATCAATCTTTTGAAGAGGG